ATTTAGTGGATTTATTTATTTATTTTAATGTTTTATTGTGTATTGTGATAGTCGACATGGGGGAGCATTAGTTTTACATTCATTCCATCATACATCGTCTCACTGCCATAGTTACCATCCTGTCCATGCATCATCACCCAACCAAAGGATACACCCTGCAATCCTGCCCGCCCTCCCCTCACGGTCCTCAACACACAGCACCTCTCTCTCTCTGGATCCCATCTTTTCACGTCATCCTCTCTCTTCACGTCATCCTCTCTGTCTCAGTCTCAGGCCTCACTGCTCCTCTGGGTGGGGTCCCGCTCTCCACTCGTCTCCATTGATGGTCCCAGGGCCCTCCGCTCCTAGACTGAAAGGTTAATCATTCTCCTCCTTGCTATAAAATGTCCAAGTTTACATTTCCAGTCTTCACAATCAGTCCCGGTAACAATTATTCACCCTTGCATCCCAAGGGACCCATCTGCATTTCTTTTCATCTGCCCTTCCTAGACACGTTGGATACTACTCACTGCATACTCTACCATCTTCCCCGCCCTGTGGATCTAGGTTCCCTCTTGAAAGCTCATAAGCCAGTCACTTCTTGCCTTTGTATCCCTTCTCCCATTTTTGGGTAGCCAATGTTCAAGATGTCCATCCCTATCTACTCTTTGTGTGGAGGGGGTGAGAATAGTTCTTGGAGCAGGGATTTGTTTCCTCTTTTGAGCTACTGCGTTTATAAGGTGGATGTCCAGTTTATCAAACTGTATCAGATGACACTTTTTTCCTCATCTATCTTCTTCGGGTTGAGCTCTGTTTGTCCCATCATTGAAGCCATGGCAAGTGGATATTATCTGCAGGTGTGGGCGTCCCTGAGTCTGTCTGCCCTCTTCTTATCAGTTGGTCACTTCGGTCTCCACTCTAGTCCTCTGTGGATGTGTCACTGACTCTGAGCCCTTGAGTCCCCAGGTCTTGCCTCACTGCTGGCCGACCAGGTCTCCACCCGGGCTCACCATAGTCTGCTGAACAATGCAGGGCTTAGCTCGCTGCTTCTTTGATGTTCTTCGGTCACTTCTCTTTATTGGTGATGTGCGTGGTCGCCAATCAGAACGCGTTTTCCCATTGCGTCTTAGTCTTAGAGGAGGATTTGCACTGAGAGGACCCAATCACTTGCCTTGATGTCTCCTGGGCTGACAGCTTGCTTGTTCTTGTGGCTACAGTCGGACTGCCCTTGTTTTGTATTTTTCCTGTAGGTCCTTCTTTCAAGAAGTGTCTTCTGGTTTTCTAGCTGCTCCAGGCTGCTCTGCTTGTCCTTTCAAGAGAAAAGTTTCCCTTCTCTGATGGTCTGGATGTGGTTCAGGCTTCCTTCTATAGTTTTATGTAATGCAGCAGCTCCTCATGAGACCTCCTTCACTAGATACACTGTAGCCCCATTTTAGGTATTCCAATTAGTTATAGGCAGAAGACGGACTTACAAGCTTTCTATGGTGATATTTCTGACTATTCCTTTCACTCTCCCTCCAGTAACTTTTATATTATAATGCTTGGAAAACCAAGGTTCAAAAGTCAGCCAAGTACCGGACATGGTTCTTGAGGCTGAGAATTTTTACGGAAGGAGAAAGCCTCATCTCCCTCCCACATAAAGATCATTGTTGTTGTCAGGTGCCATCGAGTCGGAACCGACTCATAGCGACCCCATGCACAGCATAACGAAACAGCGAGAACTTCGAGCAGCAAGACGTGTAGTGTGGAGCTCCAACAACAACACGGAATACTGGGCCACAAGGCTGTTTAACTGTGTTTTTTTTTTTTTTGAACCACTACACTACCAGGCCTTCCTTGAAGATAGCGGATCGGGTAGACGTGTAGTGAGGAGCTTGGTCAACAACAACACGGAATACCGGATCAAGAGGACTCATGAGTTGGTGTTGGAACTCTGTAAC